AAAAAAAAAAAAAAGAAAGAAAGTGGAACTCTCGCATACTGATGCAAGCACCTTAGGAAAGAGCTTGATCGTTTGGGTTAAACATACTTACCTCATGATCCAGCCACTTCACTGTTTCTCTTGGTAGTAGTAACTTTTTTTTTTTTTGAGACAGGGTCTCGTTATGCAGTTCAGGCTGGCTTTGAACTATGTACCCCAGGCTGGTCTCACAACTCATGGTGATCCTCCTGTCTCGGCCACCTGAGTGCTAGGATTAGCGGCATGCAACACCACACCTGGCTGTTTGTAATAACTTTACCTGTGATAACTAAAGTGGGAAAACACCCAAATGTCCAAGAAATGGTGAGTGGATAGACCAACTCCACGCAATGGAATACTACTCCTAATAATAAAAGGGATAGACTAAGTATGCTGAATGAAAAGCTAGACCTCAAATGCAAACTAATTTACAATGAGAGCTGATGAACTGCTGCTCTGGGATGGCATGAGGAAACTTGGCTGTTTTCTCTATACTAATTGTGGTGACTGTTTCATGGGTAGGGCACCTTACCAAATTTTGCAGTTTTTACATCAATAATATATAAATTTATACACAAAGAAATACATATGCAAGCATATCTTCAAAACAGTAGCTACAGAATAGAGGTTGGAAGGAAAGGTTGGAGTCCAGCTGCCCATTAGCTAATCCCCCACATCTGCATGACACTCAACAGGTTATCTCAACTGTCAAAGGGCACTAAGAAAGAATCTGTCTCTAAGGTGTATTTTCTGTTATCTTGGATCTTACTAAGATTAACAAGTTCCTGCTGGTTTGAGCCACCAGTGGTACATGCATGACTGTCCCATGTCTCTCAATGGGACAGTCATGCACGTACCACTAGTGGTTCAGAGCTGCCCTGGAGACATACAAGTTACAGCCTTGTTGTGAACATGTTAAATGGATGAACACATGGAAAATGGAACAGGGTCTGGAAAACAGAAAATACTCCAGCTGGGAGAGCTAAGGCTGAGATGGAGGTAAGGTCTTTACAGGCAACTGCTGTTTTGTTTGCTTACAACCTCTTCCATGGGAGACTGTTTTTGTTCCTTTTTTTCTGAGACAGGGTCTTGCTATGTAGTTCAGGCTGGTCTTGAACTAAGTAGCCCGCCTGGGCTCCAACTCACAGTGATCCTCCTGCATTGGCCTCCCAAGTGCTGGGATTACAGGTGTGTACCACCCACGCTTGGCTTAAGGGAGAGTACTTTTTGCTCATCACCCATTCCAGGTGACTTTAGTGGGGCTGAAATGCACAGTATCCAACACTCTTGGGAATGTACTCTACACCCCTGGATGTAGTGATTGTCACAAGATATACAAACAGGCCCAGAGACCTTTCTTGGGATTTCCATACTGAATAAACATGCTGACTATACTGAAGTAGGGAAGATGCCTTTTTCTCTCCTCTGGGCATACCAACTGGCAAGTATTCAGTGAGGCCTCCCTTACAGGAAGAACAGTTGAAAATGGCACAGAATGAGTTCTGAGAGCACAGTGGAGAATCCTGAGACCACCCTGTGAGCCCCCAAACTGAGCCAGACCTGAAGAAAAACCAACGTTTTTGAGGACCTGTGACCCAATTAATTCCATTTAGGACTCAGGTTAGTTTGACTTAATTTCTTTTTCTTGGTGGTGGGTATTAAACCCAGGGCCTTATGCGTGCGAAGCACTAAGCTACATCCCCAACCGCTAAACCTACATCCCTTTCCCGCCCCTGTCCTTCGCTTCCCCTCCCTCCCTGTCTTGAAGATGGAGTGCCAGCAGTGCTGGAACTGCAGGTGTGGGCTCATGTACATTTCTCTTGCTTTGACTGAGTTACTCATGATAAAAGAGGTTGAAGTGAGCTGACTGTAAAATATTGGAGCTGGGATCCAAAATCAGCTCTTACTTCTCCCAAAGCCCATACCTGATGGCCGTTTCCTGCTTGCAGGGTCAGAGCGGCCCGTGCTTGTAATTCAGTGTGGATGGGGGCGCTGAGCAAACAGGAGAGGCTATGGACTTGTACTAGGCAGTGAACAGCAGTGGCCCGAGGCCTAGCTGGAAAACCTGACAGGAGCGTCAAGAGAAACCACTCAGCACAACCCACCTGAGGAAGCCATCAGACCTCAGACCCGCACCCCTTAAAGGTGATTTGAGACATAACAACAGCACAATGGCATTTTTATTTACAACTGGACCAAAAAGGCAAACAGGCATTTTTTTAAATTAAAAATAATAATGACAATGATTTAAAAAGTCAGAAAAATTGACAATGTTTGAACCCTTTGTGGAGTCCATTTCTCTACTCCCCCAAAAAAGAATCTCTTATGGGAAAAAAAATCCAAGATTTGAATGAACAAAAGACTCCAATGAGTCTTTTGAGAATGAGAATTCTCTGCTGCTTGGGTTCCTTCTTCTCCAACCCAATTCATGGTAGACACCGCTTGGCACTGCGGAGTCACTACGAGGCAAGATTCGGACGCCCACCAATTTGACTGACAGAGTTGGCAGGGGCCCTGGAGACTGGGGCAGTGGGGTGTGTGGGTGTTCCTAGCTTAGCCAGTACCCTGATATTTGTCTCATAGTGGACCGGAGCAAGGACAAGAGGCTACTATTTAAACTCTAATCCCAGGTGCCAATGTCTGTGACTTGCACAGGTAGCCTGTGGCTGGGAAGAGCAGGGCTCTGCAGAAGAGCCAGGAAGCCACAGGAGCCTCCTCCCTCCAGCCTGGGAACACTGGGCTTCCTGCTTCTTCCTGGGAAATGGGGAAGCAATGACAAAACTTCCTTCTTCCAATAGTTCTCTGGGTGTCCCATAATAACTCAGGTGGGAGGTGGGGGCATGAGTCTGGCTAAAAGGAGTGGGCAGAAACACTGAGGCCAAGGGACATCAGGAAGAGAACGGCTCTGGCGGGCCACCTCAAGGAGGGTAGTTAGGTCTCTGCCTCCTTGTTCTGCCCTGGAAGTGCAGTAGAAGCTGCACCACCAGCTCTTTGGAAAGACTGGCAGCCCCTGAAGAAAGAACTGGGGAGCAGTCCTGAGGGGCAAGGACCCTAGTGGCTTTCACCATCCCTTCCCCGACACAGACAGGTGAATGCTTGGCTCTACAAATTCCTGACTCAGGTCCAGGGTTTCTTGGCACAAGAACAGTTCACTCCAAGTCTCTCCTCTTCCTCTGTGTTGTCAGCAGACTCCGGCCGCTCTGATGGGGGTTCCTGCTGTCCTAGGGAACCCGGCCCGTGCTTCCAGGGGCTCTCCTTGTAGCCACCAAGTCTTAGGCTTGCTCGTGGTGAAAAGGTGGCTCAGAGGGCTGGCTGGAAGCTCTACCTTGGTAGCCTGGGAGGAAGCTGGACAAGAGAAGTAGGTGGGGGAGAAGAGGCTGCTTGGCACTGAGGGGACTGTCCAGGCTAGAACAGTACAGTGTCGCGGCATCCGTGGTGAGGCTCAGAACTGTCACTGGGGCCCCAGCATCTCCTCTTCTGGTTAGTCGTGGGGTGGCCAAGAGACCTGAGGAACTGAGGTGGAGACAGGGACCAAACCCAGTATCTTGGTGGAGTCATTCATCCTGGATCCATTTGTTTAAAGAACTAAGGAAAAACACCCCAAACCAAAATAAACCTGAACAAACGGGTCAGAGTTCCTGCTAAACGGAACTTTCTTAGCACTGAAAAAAAACCCCACAAAAAACTCAGCCCCCACAAAACTGGTATAAGATGAAGAAAAATGCAAGATTTATCTACAGGCCCTCCCGCCCCCCACGCAGCCCAGGGATCCAGGAACACTGTGCCAGGAGTTATATTCCAAATGAGCAGGAGTTATTTTATTTTGTGTGCCTGCAGTTCCCCACACAGGGTGGCTTCCTTTCCAAGGATGGAGTGGGCCTGGCCACGGTCCACCCCAATCAGTCTATCTTCACGGCAGCATAGATTTTGCGGACAAACATGTAGGCTGCATAGAAGCCAATGGTGCCTGTGAGCAGCCAGAAGGATAGGACCATGAGAGCCGTGTAGCCAAAGTAGAGGAGAGAGGGGATGAACTCGACGATGTCCAGCTGGGGCAACAAGTGAGGAGAGAAGAAGGGGAAGATGCTCAGTACCAGGAAGCCATGACACACTGCCCCCCCTCCGCTGTCCCATGCAGTGGCAAAACCGCCACCTGCTAGGGAAAGGGGCTCACAGACATGGCTAGGCTCCATCTGTGGACTGCCTCGGATGCTCATGACCTCAGGGCCAGCCCAGGCTGGAATGCTATAGACACAAATGACCACAGTGGGACCACTCCCTGGTTCTCCAGTCCCCAGCACCGTACAGTGTAACACTCTTGGACAGCAGAAGATGCCGTGGGGAAGAGGTGTCCAAACCTCTAACCTTAGGGACCAGAGAGCCACCATCAGCCTACATTCCTTTCCCAAGAATGTGTATCACTTTTGTTAATGTCTCATGGCGATGTTTATCTTGCAGCATCTCAGACTCCTTTGAGCCTGGGATTCCTTTGTGATGGGAGGGGCCTGCACTGCTGTGGTGTTTGCTGGGACAAATGGAGCTAATCCCCCCCAGTGCACCACAGCCCGGGAGAACTCTCTTCCAGGGCCCAGGGGCCATCACCTGCCAGGAGCTCAGAAGAAAACTAACAATACCCCAAGAATTCTGATAAGTGTGTTTTCATTGTAATTCAGTTCAAAATTACCTTCTAATTTCCATTTGTTTGGTTTGTGTGCGCACACACACACCACTGAGGATTTAACCTAGGGCCTTTGACATTGAGCTACATTCCAACCCTATTTTTTATTTTTTATTTTGAGGCAGAGTCTCACTAAGTCACTAGAGACTCCTAAGCCTAAAGGGTAAAGGTGCTATTGTCAGGCTCAAACTGGCTCAAACCCTCATCTCTCCTACAAGCGTCTTGTGGGTACCTAAGGGGTGATGGCAGCGGGGAGGAAGGAGCAGGGCAATGGTCAAACCAGAAAAGGGAAGAGCTTAAACAGGCTGAAAGAGGCCTCAGAGCTCAGCTAGCCAAAGGTCTCATTTTACACTGGCACTGGGGGAAGAGGCTTTTAGATGAGAAAACAAGTTGGGGTATCAGTTGGGTGGGGACCTTTGAGAAGACCTGTAATTTTTATTTGCCCAACACTGTTTCCTGTCCTCCTCCTCAGGTGTTTTGAGGAACACACTGGCTAGTTTGTGCCCTGCTGGGGGCATTAATTATCATACAAAAGCTAAGCTAGGTTATCAGAGAGCACCATGCTTTGGGCCTACCAAACAGAGTGAGAGGCGCATAACCTGAGCAAGGCAACGAGGCTCCCTGTGACTGACACAAGGGCAGGGGAGAGACTCTTTAGTCCTGTGCTGTGCGCTGAAAAGAGGAGACACCAGGGCTGCCTTTGGCTAGCTGCTTTCTACTTTGTGGCAAGATCCTGCTTGCAGACCCAGAGCTAAGGTATGAACACAGAACTCTGGTATTTTTCAGACTCTGGATCTAACTATGCCTGAAGCTAGGACTCCAACATCTTAAACTTCATTTGTATCAGCCAATAAGTTCTCTTTTGGCTTAAGCCAGCAAGAACTCGGTTTTGGTCACCTGCCCATCACAGAAGTTCTAACTCATGTAGAGGACAGAGTAGATTTGTTCTGGATGATCCCTGGAACAGGACTGAAGACCTGGAGATGCAAGTTATATAGGTGGGGGCAGACTGCAAGGAAGACCTTTGTAATGGCCAGAGCTGTCTGGAAGGAGAATGGGAATGTCAGAAAGAAGTATCTTTTCTGTCTCGGATGTGCTGTAGCAGAGTTCAACACACTTTCTTTTTTTTTTTTTTTTTTTTTTGAGACAGGGTCTCGCTGTGTAGTTCAGGCTGGCCTTGAACTCACTATGTAGCCCAGGCTGGGCTTGAACTCACTGAGATCCTCCTGCCTCAGCCTCCTGAGTGCTGGGATTGCAGGTGTGTGCCACCAGGCCCAGCAGCAAACTTTTTCTTAAAGGGCCACAGTCTCAGTTTTTTTTAGGTTTTAGAGGCCACTGCAACTGCTCGACTGCCACTGCAGCATGAAAGTAGCCATAGATGACAGGTAAATGATCACTGCTGTGGTCCAATAAAACTTCACTTCTGGAGCAGTGTGCTAAATGATTTTCAAAGTCCTGTCCAACCTGGTGTTTGGGAGAAAAGGATTCCTGGCTTCCACCAACAGACCCACAACTCTGTTTTGCAAATACAGCCTGGTTGCAAGCAGAGGACTATTTGCTTTGGGATCTAGAAAGCCACAGTACAATGGGTGAGCTCAAGTCTTCTGTGCTAGCTGTGGAGTGAGGGGGCCCATCAGAGCCTCCCAAACTCTTTTCACAGGTGCATCTGGTTTTATGCATCATACATGAACCTATCAAAACTGCTGGGATCTTTTATGCTCTTACTCGTGCCACTCCTCAGGCACCATAAGCTCTGTGAACTTGTCCTAGTTGTGCAAGCCAGCTTCCCTTTGCTGTCAGCCCACAGGCAACCCATGTGGCCTCATGTGGCAAGGTGGCTGGCCTCAGAGACATAGGCAAAGCCCTTTCTTTGCTTGTCCTCTCCTTGTTCTACAGGACCACACAGTACTAAGTGGGGCAGAGAAGGAAGCCCCCAGACACAGGAAACCTGAGGGCCTGAGTTTGGGTTCTAGAGGCTATACCAGCATTTTCTTCTTTGATCTCTATTAACTCCTTTCATCTACTTTTATTGTTTCCTATTGTTTTTCCTCCCTGATATCTTGAGGTAAATACTGTATTATCATTCTCAAAGGCACACTGCTTTAAAGCACTGCTCTGGAGGTATTTTATCTCTGGTTTTGCATGCAATAGTTACACTGTCGTTTATCCTGAAGGCTTGTCTCCCAAGCATACAGAACTCAGACAATCTTGTTCCTTAAAAGATGCATGTTCTAAGAGCGGTCTTCACTAGTCTTGGTGGGAAAGTAATTTTCTTTTCTTTTTTGAGACAGGTTGTTGCACTGCAGTTCAGGCTGGCCTTGAATTCACTGTATAGCCTAGGCTGGCCTCAAACTCATGACGACCCTCCTGCCTCAGCCTCCTGAGAGCTGGGACTATAGGCATGCGCTACCATGCCCAACTGGGAAAGTAAGATTCTGACACTGGGTTTTCCCTCCAGCATCCTCCTCTCTATTATCCTGCCTAGCGGGGACTGAGGGGCCCTTCAGGAGGGTGGTACCTTGTTAACAAAATAAAAGATGGCATAGACCAGGACGTAGAATGCAGATCCCCCGGAGACTAGAAAATTCCTCCACCACCATCGGTAATCCTGAGGAGGAAACAGAGGGAGGGTCACTGCTGTCTCCAGGTCGTCTTCCAGCCAAATTAAATAGATGCCTGAGGAACTCAAGGCTCTGGGTAAGAAGAGTAACACTTGAGTGATGAAAAGGAGTGATTCAGGGAGTACTGAGCTACATTCCCTGCCTTTTTTATTTTAAGATGTTGGCTTTCTAAATGGCCCGGGCTGCTCTTAAACTCGCAATTCTCTCTTTAGCCTCCGAAGTATACACAATCATGCCTGACAAAATCTTTTTAATTTTTGGTGGTACTAGGGATTGAATCTATAGCATTTCACATGTTGAGCTCTACCACTGAGCTACATCTCCAGACCCCAAAATTATCATGTAGTGATCAAATGCTTCCTATGTGCTAGGAACCATTTTAAAGACTACATTTAATCAGCTCATTCAGCATGTGCAATAGCCTCCAAGTTATTTCTCTTACTATTCCTGTCATGCTAAGGAACAGTAGAAGGCACAGAGACTGAGCAACTTGCTGAAGATACAGAGCCACCAGCGGAGGACCCAGATCCCGGCTGGCTCAGCTACTCTCAGGAGCCAGCCCCCAGGATAGCAGGTCACCCTTTTGCACCAGGCTGCTGGAGAAACTACCACTGGTGTGGACATGGTACTGACAAGCCTGCAATCCTTCATAAAGTTTTAGTGACTACCCCACACAACCATGCAGTGAAGTTGGTATGGTATCATTAACTGCAACGCATAGCGGAGAAATGGGAGGTTTAGGAGGGAAGTAACTCACTGGCCCAAGGCAGCCTGAGTCAGGGACCACCTGGGAAAGCCAGACCTCACCTCTGCACAGCCTCACTGACCTGTTCAATGCTGGGTCCAGCCCTTCCCCTCTTCACTTCCTGGCCCATTCCCATTACCTCTGCACATAGCTGGAAGTACACCATGACGATGCTGATTTGTGAACAGGACACCACCAGGATGATGAAAACAAGGAACAGGAAGCCAAAGAGGTAATAGAACTGATTCTCCCAGATTGCCTGTGGACACACCAGAGCAAACCTTCAGCTGGCCTGCCTCTACATAGCTGCCCCTTCTCCTGCATACCATCTGTCACCAGAGCAGGAAAGGAGAAACCATCAGGATACCCATCTGGGCCTGTGGGCCTGGCCTGTGGCTCTGATTGGAGCAGGGGGTGAGCCATGGTGTTCTTAGGGAGTGGCCCCTAGTCTGAAGGTGGCAGCAGGTAGGAAATAATCAAAATATATAGCAGCCACCACCAGTCAGGAGCAGTTTACCACATGCCAGGCACTGTGCTCCACTTATCTCCACTTGCGAGCCTATGTAAGTATGGCCTTATATAGCTGCAGAGGTGAAGGCTAAGACAGGACAGTAACTGGCCCAGGGGCACATACATGGGATAGAGGGCGTCTCCTTGGGAAATGCACAGAGGCCAACAAACAGCCAACTTAGGCAGGCCTTAGTGTGCAAGGGTCCTACAAGGGAAAGGCTGGGTCATTATTCTGGAATAGAAGATACCGGTCTAGCACTGACTGGGTATGGCACCACCTGTGCTGGACATGGGGCTGGGTCATCAGATTTATGGAGCTCTGAGGAGTCCTCCTGCCAGCTTTCAACTTGGCAATCCCAGGCAGAAGTAATGACTTCACAGCAGCAGCATTTCCTGAATGCCAAGGCCTTTCAGACCACAAAGATCCAGACATTGGGGATCATTCTCCCTATTTGCCTTAAGTTTTGGGTGATGTCAACAGGTAAAGGATGGAAAGGGATCTGGGTATGGTGGTGCATGCCTGTAATCCCAGTACTTGGAAGGCTGAGGTAGGAGAATTGCCAAGAGATTGAGGCCAGCCTAGACAACACAGTAAGTTCAAAGCCAGCCTGAACTACACAGTGAGACTCTGTCTCAAAATCCATCCTCCAAAAAAACTACAAAAGAAAAAAAATAAAATAAAAAGGGAAGGGACCCAGAAAGATAAAGCAATGATCTTCATCATGGGTGTGAATGATCTGTAGTATTACTGAAGGACATTCCCTGTCCTGAGCCCTTTCCAGGTACCAGACCCTGTATATGTGGCCTATCTCCTTCACCTGTTAAAGCTGTCCTGGCAGGCAAGTCTGTTACCCAACTTCAGGGAGCAGAATGGGCATGTGAGAGATTAAACAGCGTGCCTGCAATTTCACAGGCAGTAAGAGGCAATGTGCCTAAGCAAGGCGGAGAGACCAGGTTGTAGGCGCAGCTGGGTTGTGGGGTGGGGACAGGCAGCAGTACTTACACTGAAGATGAAGAACAGCTCGATGAACATGGCACCAAAGGGCAGGATCCCAGCCATGAGAATGCTGCAGCAGAGCACCAGGGTCAACGCTACCAGAGACCTGGCCATCAGGAAACCCCAGCTGCCCCCCTCCCGCAGTGACACAGAGAGGCAGTGCCTGAGCAGATGGGGGTGCTAAGTCCTCTTTGTGCTACTGAGCCATTATACCTTCTTGAGAGGTAGGCAGAATGGGTACCATTCTCCATAGTTTGTAGGTGGGAAACCTACAAAGTGATCACCTTAAACTGTCCCACCATACCCTCTATCTTTCCCTTCCCCTGTCTTGGATCCCAGGTTGACACCAAGTCTGCTGCATCCCTGTCCTCTTATCATGGAGGGAGATGGGGCTTTCATCCAGTCTACTAGCATGGCTGCAGCTGCTGCACTGGTTCCAGCTCCTGGTGAGGGTACCCTCTTCCATGGCCTCCTAAGCTCAAGGGAGTGCTGGCCCCACACACTCCCAAAGCCCTCTGCTCCTGATCCTGCCAGAAGACTCACCCCACGAATCGGTTCATGTACCACCGCTGTTCAGGGATCTGCCGGGGAATCTGGTTGGTACGAACGGGGTTGTCGTATGGCTGCTTGCGGAAGCCGAAGTAGTAGCCCAAGTAGACAAGGGGCAAGGAGATCCCAAACCACATGCAGAGCAGAGCAACCATGGTAGGAAATGGCACCTGTAGACACACTGCTGTGAGGACCTCACCAGGCCCTGCTGCCCAGGATAGGGCTATGCAAGGGGCAGGGGGTTTTCTGGGATCCAGGGAAGCAGCAGCCACATGTGCAGCAGGGATAGGGCCACCATGGTGGAGAAAGTCCTGCACACATCTCACTCAACCCTGGGGTCCTGGCCAGAATCTCTTGGGACCCACAATTTCCTGGAAGGAAAGCAGAATGCAAGTGAGGAGGAGGACTGGGCTCCCAGGCAAAAAGGAATCTTGGCAGGCCAGGAGCCCATCATCCAGGGACGAAGTAGAGAAGGGGGAAGGAAGGGACTGAAATCCCTAAGGGAACATGAAGGGGCCAGAACGAAAGAAAACGACATTAAATCATCCATTAAGCAAAGAGAAAAAAGGAAAAAAAAGTGCACAAAGTGCTCCTAATTTGGTTAAAACACCACAATGTATGCTTAAGTGCAAAAAACAGGTTTAACATTGTATATACAAAAGAACTCCATTTTATTTTCTGTTACTTTATTTTAATATAGGGTCTCCTAGTAGTTCAGGCTGGTCTTGAACTCACTATGTAGCCGAGGCTGCCCTTGAACTCATGGTGATCCTCTTGCCTCAGCTTCCTGAGTGCTGGGGTTAGAGGTGTGTGCCACCATGCCTGGTTCAGAACAACTGCATTTTAATAAAAACATGATATATATATACCAGGGAAAGCCTCTACTGAAAAGTTAACACTGTTTCCTTGGATGGGATGTGAGGGAGAGGACTGATTTTTCATTTTATCTTCTTCTGTATGGTTATGACTTTTATAAGGATCATATGAAATGGGCATGGTGGTACAGGCCTGTAATCCCAGCACTGCGGGAAGCTGAGGCAGAGGGACAGCACGTGTGACCCCCGCCGGGACTACTTAATGAGACTCTGTTTCAAAGTTAAAAAAAAAAAAAAACGTGGGAGAGAGCCTGAAGACTCAGGGTCAATCAATTCCTGGTTCCACCAAAAAAAGAAAGAAGAAGAAAAAAAAAGAAAAGAAAAAAGAATCATACAAAAAGAAAAAAATGTTAATATTGTGAAGTGTTTAGAACACTATTTTTTGGGGCTGGGGATTTAGCTCAGCGGCAAAAGCGCTTGCCTGGCAAGCGCAAAGTCGTGAGTTCGGTTCCTGGTACCGGAGAAAAACCAAAAAAATAAAAAATAAATAAAAAATAGAACACTATTTTTTACAAAGTAAGTACCATGCAAATGTTTGGATTTTTTTTTTTTTTGTAAATTACTAATTCCATTTAAAATAAATCTATATGGAAACAAGACAAAGACTATTAAAATTGAAGATCAACAAAATATCTCTGGGTATTTAGATTATGGGTTATTTTTAACTTCTTTTACTTCTCTGTACTTTCCAAAATTTCTACAAGTTTCTGAAATGTGCAGCTGGTAACCAGCAGGAAAATGATGGAGAGCAGGGACACAGGTATAAAAAAAAGAGGAAATGAGGTCAGGCAAGACCTTGTTTCCAGAGGGTGGCTTCACAGCCCTTGGAGAGGCTGGTCCTCTGCAGCCAGGACTTGGAGCCTCATCTAGAGACATCTAGGTATCTGCAAACTGGGCACAGGTGGCTGCTCCACCTCTACCACACCTCTGCTAACTGACTGAGACCTCACTGTCCCCCCTCCACAAACCAGTTCAAGACCCTACTCAGTGAGTGAGTCCTGCTAGCAACACAATAGACACGGGCTTGTAGGATCCCCACTCAAGGATCGAACCACCTGGCCCCCCCATCCTCTCTGCCTCCACCTGCAGGGGCTGGTGCTGAGGGTGGGACTCAAGGAGAGCTCTGTTTGGGGATACCGACCTAATTAACACATTCATACCATGCAGCTCTCCCCTGGATGACACAAAGGGGAACTCCCCAGCTGGCCTTGGACTATGGAAACTTCTCTTTAGAGAAGTGAGCTTTGGTCAGTTGTCTGTGAGTTCATAGAGAGGCTAAGGCCAGGACATGGGCAGACAATGGGCAGTGCTGGGGAAAGCCCAACCAGCCCTCAGCCTCCTGGGCTGGGAACAGAACTCTGAGGACTCAGAAAAGGGAAGGAAACAACAGGGAGTGGCCCGGGGCAGTGGGGCAGTGTCACAGTCCCCTTACTGGGAAGGGGCAGGGTGAGGACACTTACCGCTCCTGACGAGTGCTTTCCCCAGATAAAGCAATTCAGTACGAAGCAAATGCCAAAAACCACACCAGGGTACAGTGTTGCTGTCTGGAAATAAGAGGGCCCAGGTTGGGAGCTGTATCCAGGGAATTTCCCCGCTTCAATACTTCCTTGTCCTTCAGGCAAACTCAGCTCAAGAAACAGTCTTTCCTGGAAGCATTCACTGACCCAGACTAGGTTAGCCCTTGAGGCTACACCTCTCAGATCCCTGACACTGCACTTCCCTTGCTTCCATCCCAGTGTGCAATTACAGTTGTTCCCAGCTTATGAAGCTTCTACTGACGATCTCTTTATTTCTGATGGACTGAAGGTGATATGAATTCAGTAGAAACTGTACTGTGGTATTTGGTTAGGTACATTAAATGCATTTTCAGCTCAGGATACTGCCAATTTATGATGGGGGCTTGGGATATAATCCCATTCTAAACTGAGGAGCACCTATATACATTTTGTTACCTGATCAATGGCTTCCTCTCTCCAGTAGAGTATAAGCTCCTTGGGAGGACTGAATCTACCATGTTCTCTGTATACTCCCACCAGACAACGTATTAGCTACTGAATAAATACTTGTTAGAGAAAGAGCTGCTGAATGCACGAATACCAAAACTCCACAAACACGCATGCCTGGACCCATCCCAAACCACTTGGAATGATGGCTAAGCTTTAATGTGTCAGGGATGGCAAATGCTGGGCTTTGCTGCTTCACCTCACCTTATCCTCACTACACACTTAGAAGGGAAGACACATTATTCTGCTTAAAGACAAGGACACCGAGGCCCAGAGACATTAAGTTTCACTCCTTCCCCCCACCTTTACACAGCTTGCCAAGGGTGAAGCAGAGGTTCAGTCCAGGCAGTTTGACTCGAGAACCCACCTCCTGACCTGCCGTGCTATATTCTAGCCTGTCAGAATCTCTTGGGTTGGTGTCCACACACAGGTAACCACAGCTCCAGATTTAATTTGAGCCTCCTTTTTATGTACTGCCCATGATCACTAGGCCCTCTGTAACCTGGTGCCCACCTTCTGCTGCCAGGTTCACCTCTGTCTCACTGCCCCTCCCACCCAACAGCTGGTTACTGCTCCAGCATTTTCCTGTCGCTGGGCCTTTATGCAGGTATTAGCTTCCTGACACTAAGGTCTTGCAAGGCCTTACACTCAATCCCTTTCTACCCACAAAACCTAAGAGGTAGATGCAACTATCCCCATTGGACAGAGAGGAAAACTGAGGCTCAGAGGGCTGTTCATGACTAACAGACCAGGTAGGAATAGAGCTAGGACTAGCATCTGGGCAGCTGCCAGGACTAGGATCTGTGGTCCTTCTGACTTCTTCCCTCCATCTGAAACTTTCTTCCTCAAGAACCAGCTCAAACATCACTTCCTTTTTGACTCTGTGCCCTCTTCACTCTTGCTGTGTGGCAGGGAACTCCTCATCTGCCTTGCTGCTGCAGGTACTGTGTTAGATACTAAGAATATGACTAGGAAAAAACTGCAGGAAAAAGGAGCTCAGGGCTCCCTGGGAGGTGAGGTGGCTCCAGGATTCCATCTCCATGTTTTTTTCTGGTGCCAAGATCTTTCCTTAGTCCCAGTAGGGGAGGGAAGGGCAGAAGCCACCCTCACTGGAGAGCAACAGAGGCACCAATTCCAGAAACAGGCAGGTGGTCACATAAGCCTGGCCTCTTCTGCCCTTGCAGGCCATTCTCTCTATCTTATTGGGAAAGGGGTTCTCCTCTAGCCTTGTTGACCAAAATTCTACCATTCCTTCTGCATGAGTCCTCTATTCGATCTCTTGCCTGAGTCATCCAAACTCAAACCTCACTTTACAGATGGTCCAACTAAGGCCTGGAGAGGTCCTGATGTGAACGTGTGGGTAAGGCCCAGAATGCTGACACCTGTGTGCAAAGCCCTCCTGCTCCTTCACACTGCTGCTCAGTCTCCGGCCTGAAAACCCCACAGAGCCTTTCTAGAGAAAGCCTGGCAAGCTTTTCTGATTCTCTGAATACTGGGAAGGGGTTTAAGATACTTACACAGAAGGCTCCTTTCTTCCACCGATGGCCTTTTAGAGTGCGGTACAGACGGCCAGCAGAAAATCCACCAAACACCCTGTGGGAAAAGGGCAGGAGTCCACAACATGGGGGCCTGTTAGTGGTGTGAAGGAGGCATATGCCAGCCCCTGGGAGCCCGCTCTTACACACCTACCCCATGAACATGAAGAGAAAGCAGGCTGTGGTCATGAGCGCTCCCCGGCTGGAGGGCGACAGCATCCCAAGCATGGCCACGACTGTGGGGGTAGGGAAGGCAGTCAGGCTGGCTTCACCAGGCCCCCAGATCCCAACTGAGCAGGCTGACAGAACCCTGGGCAGAGGGGGCTATAAGAGGCTTCCTTCTCCTTTGCCTTCTCAACAACACGGTCCAGTTCCCTCTACAGGGAAAGATTGGGTCATGGGGGTTCAGGGGGGTAGGACAGCTGCTGGGGCTGGACTAGGTGAATCTTAACTGCAGTTTCTAGTCCACACGACACTGACTGTGCCTTCTCAACTCTGCAAATGATTAGTTTCTCTATTTCTCAGACAAGGAAACAGGCTCAGAAGGGTTAGGTCGCTTGCCCAAGATCATAAAGCTTGGAGGCATGAGGTTAAGACATGAGTTTAGGCAGACTGATTCCACAGCTGTCTGTAACTACTGTAAATTAGTGCTTTTTATTTGTTAAAGAGAAAAGACCAAGTCTAGTACTAAACCTGGTACTGACTTTGGGTCAGTCACAATCTGACTAGAAAAGGCAGCCGACACAGTGCTGTGTGACTCATGAACAGGGTGGACATTGTGGGCTCTGCAAATGCAGCAGAGAAGCTGAAAGGAGGATCAGCATTCCCAGGGTCTAGGGCTGCTGCTGGGACATGCAGCTGTTTGGCCCCAAGAAGCGGACACGTCTGCTTGGTGCCAAATGTTTGGCCCTTCTCCAAGGAAGGAAGCCCATCCTCTTTTCTTGAGGTGCACAGAGAGCTAGCCATGTGTCAGGATCAGGTGGGCCACGCTCCTCTAGACCCCCGCACCAGCCAACCGGGCCACTCACAGATGACAATGAGGATCATACAGAAGAGCTGAATGCCTGAGCCCAGCAGGGAGCTGAGGATCATAGGGTACTGGGGTGGCCTGAAGACGTCACCGTGCACCAGCTTCCACCCAGATTCCTCCATAGTGTCTTCCTGCAGCAAAGGGCCAGAGAGTGAGGCAGACTGGTGATCAGTTCCTACAGAGACCACCCTCAAGGACACAGTCACCTGATGCAGGCTGAGGGTTCCTCAGGTGTCACCCAGCTCTGCTCTGACATAGGAGTGTCATATAGGGAAAGGAGAGCACAAACACACTTGTAGCCATGTAAAAGGAAAATCACCCCAATTCCATAAGCCTAGTGGGAAGAAAAATCATGCAAACATATCAATTTTGACTTAGTAGTTTTTGGGTGGTGAGAGTTAGAAGCTATTTATTTTGATTATAAAAGAAATATGTATTTGTATAAAAAAAGTTCAAAAATTTTCGTATATGCCATGAAGTTTAAATGAACAAAAAGGGCTGGGGATATAGTTCAGCAGCATAAGCGCCTGCCTGGCAAGTGCAAGGTCCTGAGTTTGATTCCTGGTACCAAAAAAAAAAAAAAAAAAAAAAAAACCACAACAAAAAAGTTTCATGTAGAAAAATTTTAAAATATAAAAATGAAAAAAGAATTAGCGATACTTAAGTAATGTTTATACATTAATATAAAATAATGAAGTCACTGTTTTATTTTCTTTAGATGTTTAGGTATGTTTATGTGCCTATGTATATGTTTTAAAGAATAAAATCTAGATCATAGAAATTTTCAGATGATGTTTGTGAACATTTCTTTATGTTAATAAATACTCTTTGGAATTTCATTTCAAAGCTGGGACAAGTATCTCTAAGGCCCAGTTTTGGATTTCTGATTTTTTCCTCATAAAATCCTAGAATTGCTGTGGCAAAGCAAGGTGCCTACTTTACAGTCCTTGAGATGAACTCCCAATTGCTTTTCAGAAAACTGTCAATTTAACCTTCCATGGGGGAATTTAGGAAAGTGCCTATTTCATGTTAACTTTGCCAACAATTAGTACTATTTTTAAAAAGTATATTTCATAATTTAAATTTAAATGCATTTTAAATAAATTTAAATATTTAAATAAATTTAAAAATTTATTTTTAATAAATTAAAAAAATTTAAATAAATTTAATAAATGCATTTTAAAGAATTTAAATGCATTTTAGGAGATTATCTCTGAGGTAAAAACATTTTTTCAGATGCATACTGGCCAATGTAGCTCCTTATCGTAAATTTTCTTTTCAAGCTGGGTGTGGTGGTGCATGCCTGTAATCCTTGCACTCAGGAGGTTGAAGCAGGGGGATTGCCACAAGTTCAAAGTCAGCCTGGGGAACATAATGAAGACTAGCCTGGACTACACAGTGAGACCCATCTCAAAATATAAAAAAAAATTTTTTTTTCTCTTCATCATTACATTAGTAACTTTAGGTTTTTGGTTTTTTTTTTTTTTTTTTTTTTCTCTGGTACTGGGAATCGAACTCAAGACCTTGCGCTTGCCAGGCAGGCACTGTGCTGCTGAGGTAATCCCCAGCCCCTAGGTTTTTGGTTCTTTAAAAGAAATTTTATATAAATTCTTTTAACTGTATCAGTTTAGGTTTGTCACAAATATTGTTTTGCCACTTCATTTTTGTTTTATTATAAATCTGACATGTCATATTAATTTTTTTTTTTCTGCAACTTCTATTGCATTTGTACTTGAGACTAGAAGCCCCATCTCTATCACTCTGGGTGATAAAAGTTTTTTTCTTCTTTTCAGTATTTTTGAAATTACAAATGGACACACACACACACACACACACACACACACCTGCTAAATTGCCCTCCCTTTCCCAATCTATCCCACCCTAGCCAAGACCTCGTACAATGTCATCCTCCTTGTTATAGTTGGCAATGTCCTTCCGGAGGGTCCGAATGATAATCATGCTCAGGATGCCTGAAACAGACAGGGGTGGGAAGGAAGAGCTGTGAGCCAACAATCCAGTGTTCTGTGTCCTCCTCCAGTAGGACTTGGTCATGCAGCTACCTAACTTCTCTCCTGGACAGAACCACATTCCAGCCAACTGAGGAGATGGTATAGAAGGAAAGGGCTGCTGGGATGGAAGGGGACAGCCATGGAATACTGTTTTTTGTCAGAAAGGAAAGCATCCTAGCTCCTCCATGACTTGGTCCTTCTAGCTGGTTTATTGCTTAGAGTTACAAGTTTACAGCCTGACCTCTCTTACCTCTATGCCTTTACCACTTTCTTCCAGTGCCCTGACCATCTCCTATGCATGTGCCAAGACTCACACTGGGCATCTTTGGTTCAGAGACACACTCTTCCCACAGTTGTCTTCTACCTGCCTGCCTCTCGAGGGAGAAGTGCAGTGGTTAAGAGAACAGGCTGTGTGACACTACACTCACTTAAGCTCTTAGCTCTTATGGCTGAAGGACTGAGATGACAATGAAGTGCTTAGAACAGCAACTGGGCCCTCAGTAAATGTTTCCTAAACAGTACCTATCTTTGCTTGTCAGGATACTGGAAGCACCAGCATCACCCGACCTCTGTCCACCACCCTCTCGTCATCTAGAAATCCCTGTAAGTGATGGGATGTCTCAGTTCCTCAACACCACCTCAACGTCCTCTCCACCCTTCAACCCACAGAGCTCTCACCTGACAGAAAGAAGACCACCACGACTGAGTTAATGATAGAAAACCAGTGGATCTGCACATCACTCATGGTCAGGTAAGTGTCCCAGCGGGAGGCCCATTTGATGTCACTTTCCTGGTGGGGTGAGAGGAAGCCCTTGAGAGTCAGGCCTCCTGCTCTCGAATCCTGGCCCAGATCAGATCCCTCCTGCCCCACCTGTGAGCTCAAACCCGCTTCTCACCTCCCAGTGCACAGAGTAGGTGAAGTACAGCTGATTCTCCTTGGTGGGGTCAATTTCTTGGGGTGAGGAGTTGGTACCCTCAGGCAGGGTACATGAACTCTTCTCATCTGCTTTGAGGTCTGCGAGAAACAGAGACTCAGTGTGTCCCCATGGTAGTCAGTGCCAATACCCAAGGCTGTGCTGAGGGTGCCTTTGAGGATGCCTGCTGCTGGGCCCTGGTCTCTGAGTGGAGGCTGGGAGCACAGTAGGCAAGAATGGCCCTTGAACTTGTATTTCCTGGAGTCCTGACCTTCCAAAGAGCCTTCAGGCATGTGCGTGGGGAGGGGAGGGAGAGAAGTCTGAGTTCAGGTCTCCTTCAAGGCAGTCAGTCTCCTGCACTCAATCTCAACATGAACTCACTCATTCACCCAAGCCCCTTCAAAACCCACCACACCTAAGGTCATTCTGTCACGTTTGCTCAGTCACACAGGTGGTCTCCGATATGTTAGTAATCAATCATGCAGGCGCTTTTCCTGTTCTCTCTCCCAGCCAGCCCCTTCTTCCAGCCAGCAAACATACAATAAGCACCAAACTATATGGTGGGTACCGTGTCGGGTGATGGAGATAAAATGGTGAGAAAAGCAGACAGAGACTCTAATCTCAATCAGCCACTGCAGGGGCAGAGATCTCGAAACAGTCACACACAAACATAAACTGTGCTCATGACACTCACGGAAGAAGAGGCAGCATGATAGTTTTAAATATGAGATCTATGTTTTATGAGGCTCCTGTGTGTGGTTTTGTTTGAAAGCTATGTTCCACAGATTTCTGAAAAAGCCAGAAATCACCACTGTGTACAAAAGCCAGGCCTGTGGCTCAACTGAAGAACACCCTATGGCGGGTGAGGGCAGAGAGGAAAGGTGAAGCAGGACAGGCCCTAGGAGGTCTGTGAGCACTGGTTGGGCTCTCAAACTCCCACTCAACTGTTGACCCTGGGCAATTTTAGTCTGTGCCAGTCACTCACACATTGGGACTGAAAGAAGACACCTGCTGCCCACCAAATTTGTCTGTCCCTGTCCCCCTTGTTCTTTGACCCAGGGTAAGCTGGCCGCTTCTTACGAACAGGCTCAGTAAAGCCCTGACTTGCTGTTTGGTCTTGGCCAAGCCATTAACCTCTCTGAACTTCTGGCTCTTCAATTATAATCACCACCTAGCTCCTGGGGTTGCTGCAAGGTGTTTAGTAAAGTACACAGCCCATAACACAGCAGATGTCAGGTGTCCCTTGCTCCCCACCTTCTCTATTAAGAATACAGAGACCCCTCCCTGGCTGGACCCATATATCACAGCCTATCAGCCAGTTTAGTGGGGGAGAAATGTGAGAAGACCCTGGGTATGGAAGCCCAGGCCCATCCAGCCCTGCCCCTCTGGTCAGACCTCCCCACTCACCCTCCAGCCTGATGCTCTGGGGAATCACCTCGAAGCGGACGACACGGTATGTATGTTCCTGGTCCTCTTCCATGTCTTCCCGATGGTAGTAAAGGATAAAGGAGAGGTGATTGTGCAAGTAGATCTGAAATGAAGCAACAGAAAGGACAAAACAGCTAGCAGCCAGGAAACAACTGTGAAGTCACTCAGGGAGAACACCCCAGACATTAGGCCCTTCCCCTTGTTCAGCAAGCCTGGCTGCACCAAGCTTCCAAAGCAACTGCTCTCATTCTACCCTCCCTTCAGTGACTGTGCAGGCCTTGCTAGGGCTTACTGGATATAAGCTCAAGTTCCTTAGCTTGGCATTAAAGCCTTCTATCATCTGCTTCTAAAATAGCAGGTCTTTACTATCTTCTAAAACATATTAGTCCCTGGCATCCTTGGCTCCTCCCTGCCCCATGAACAGTCCCTATCCGGCATCTCTGATCATGGAATGCAGTCCAAAAAGGACGCCACCCCCACCTCCACTCAGCTCAAGCCTAGCTACTTTCCAAGGTCTGCCTCCTCCTCCGTGACACTGTGAATGCACAATGTGCTCCCTCTCCACTTCCCTGGCATTGACAGCCAGGAGTGGGCAACTGAGATTTAAGACCCAAGGCTCACTCTGCTGATTCTCTCTCAATTAGGACAGAAGCCTATTGAGGACAGGGATTATCTCAAAAGAAAGGTTTTTTTCCCCATATTCCCTAAGTAATATGTGTTCAGCTTAGAAAACCAGATAGGAAAGAGAACATGGCTGCAATCATCATGATACCAGCTTATTCCTAGGGCTGTGCTGTGAAATGCTCACAGAGACTTGTCTGATTTACTCTACAAAACCATCCCAGAGAACAGGCATCATTATCACACCCACTATAGATATGGAAACAGAGGCTCAAGGACTCCCAGGCAACTGGTAGGTGGAGGGGCAGGATTCAAACCAGGGAGCCTACAGGCTCTTCATCACTGCGTGGTCCTCTCTCCTGCATACTGATGAAGTTCAAGATTTCACTTGTTTGAATCACATAGTAATGGAATCTAACATTTTAGTGACTGTGCCTTCGGCTTCTTGTAGCATCTTCCAGGGACTGTCCAATGCATGCATACCCGAGGGACCATTCCCTTGACAGACCCCCATCTTTTCTGTGTTAACAGCCCAGAGCTTAATTTCTCCCTTTCTCTGTGGTCCCAAGTGCTTGTGACTTGTGAGGTGTAGCTCCCCAGCTCTTTGCACACACCACAGACACTCTACCTTGTTGACATCTATGAAGCCGAGCCGGTAACCATGTTCAAACTGCACATCTTTTTCCTTCTTCTTGTCGTCACTGTCACGGTTGGAGTACAGCTCCAGCCGAGTGGCCACAGGCAGATTGTCAGCAATGCTGGAAACCCAAGGCCCTCATCAGTCCCTCTGAACAGCCACTGCCACCAGCACCCTCTCCTCGGTGGACGTGAGGCCGGCAGGGAGCAGAGGACAACTTACAGGTGGACATAGTAGTCTTCTGTGATGCGCTCGGCCACGAGCTTGCTCTGTTCCACATTCAGGGTCACCGGCTGGCTGGATTGGCTGCACAGAACCTCACACTTCTTCTCACTGTTCATGAGAACCTGGAAAGGGGTGTTGACAATCCGGTCCCCTCTCAGCACCTCTCCTGCCATAAAAAAGACAGATCAAGCTCAGAGCTTCAGCCCTGAGGTTGCTGAGGTCGGCAGTCCCAAGACATGAGACAGCAGGACAAAACGGACTTCCAGGGACTGCAGCAGTTCCTCAGCCTGGCAGCCCATTTTCTGCCCCATGTGTTTGAGCCCAGCTTGCTCGTCTACTCTCCTGGTCACCCTTCCTTCCTCTTTTGTGCTCTAGCACCACCAGCTCTTTGAAGCTCAAATGTACCCCATCCTTCCAAACCTCTAGGCCTGAAGTGGCTTCTCTGCCTGGAGTGTCATTCCTTGTCCTGTGCTCCTGGCTTCAAGCTTAGTTTCCCTTTTGCGCTCTCTCGGAAGACCTTCTTGGCCTTCTGAATTCCTTCTGAATAGTGAAGAGCGACAGGTCTGGCTCCATGCTACTGAGTATCGCACCCTGCCTCTGCCACTTACTAGCTTAGCAGTCTTGGTAAGTCAATGTCGCAAAGCCTCAATTTCCTCCCATGTAAATTAGGGTAGTTATAATACCTGCCTCATAGAGTTACAGTAAGAAATACAAGCATTAATCCAAGTCCAGGCACAGAGCAGCCAGGCAGCCATCACTATTTTTATCACCTCTCTACCTTTTCATATATCAGTAATACAACTTTTTTTTTTCCTTTGGGAGATAGGATCTCGCTATGTAGTTCAGGTTGGCCTTGAACTCACTATGTAGCCCAGACTGGTCTCAAACTCACAGAGATCCTCCTGCCTCAGCCTCCCGAGTGCTAGGATTACAGGCATGTACCACAATGCCTAGCACCAGTGATATAACTTTATAGTATGTGTTGAAATATTTATGTTTTTGTCTCCTTCACCTGTGAGCTCTTTTGTTTTTTGGTGGTACTACAGATTGAACTGGGGCCTTCGCAATAAGCTACCACTCCAGCCCTTTTTTTTTTAGTTTTTGAGATTTGCTAAGTTACTACGTTGCCCAGGCTGGGCACCAAAGTGCAATCCTCCTGTCTCAGCCTCTCAGAATGCTGGGATTACAGACAGGTACATGCCACCATCCCTGGCTGACCATGAGCTCTTTGAGGGGAGACACTGTTTCTTATTTATCTTTGTGTCTTCAGATCCTAATTCAGGCAGGGAGGAAGTGGGATAAAATGCCCCACTTGAGGTTTTCAGCCAAAATATCTTTTTATATGATGAAGTGGCATACCCCCTGTGGGCCTCCCTGTTGCCTAAGAGTACCTGCTGTCAGGTGTCACACTAATAGGTACTGAGCAGCTAGGGTGCGTCAACTAAGCCCAAGTGTGCTTTCACTGTGCTGTGAAGATGTGAAACCGGGATGAGCTGAAGGAGACTGACTGAAGCCAACAGACAGGACTAACGCCTCCTCATGCTCTTGGCCCAACATCTCCCTACCACTATGGAGCTGCTTGATATGGCTCTGAATCCTTTGTCATCTACATATTCATTCATTCAGTCACTTACTCACAGACACTGGGTGCTAGCTGTGGGCCAGGTCTTGAAGATACAGTATTAAACAGACATACTCAGGGGACTTTTGGCTGGAAGACAGATTTTGGTTAAATAATCAGGAAAATAAGAATATATTGTATTGTTGGGCATGGTGACATATGCCCATAATCTCAGCCACTTGGGAGGCTAAGGGAGAAGAACTGCAAGTTCAAGGATAGTGTAGGTAATTTAGTGAGATCCTGCCTCAAAAAACCAAAAAGGGCTAGTGATACAGCTCAGTGGTAGAGTACTGGCCTAGTATGGATTCAATCCCCAGTACCACCAAAAAGAGAAACAATTAAAAAAACCCCAAATCTGTATTGTTGCTGTAAACAGCGGGGAGTAGATCTAGGAAAGTTTCCCTGAGGAAGTAGTATAGTAGTAGTTGGGTTACTTTGATGGAAGACAGGATTTAACTGCACAAAGCGATAGGGGGAGAATAGTTGAGACAAAAGAATAATAAGGCACACATTGTGACAAACCAGAGGCTGGTATGGCTACAAAGCAGAGAGCTTGATGAGCTGGAGACCAAGATAAGTGGAGAGATGGGCCAGAGCTGGACCTTATGGGCCCTGGCAGGCCACAATTTGAACTTTATCTAGAAAGCAACAAATGTGAATGAGAGATTGGGGAGATGCTATCTGATGCTGGTTTCGGAAAGATCACCTTGATTGCTTTGTGCAGAAAACCGAGGATGTGAAGAGCTGGGGGAGGGAACCAGTCATGCAAGTGAAGTTGGGGACATGAACAGAATGTGTAGGAAGGGTAACTCAGAACACAGATTCATGCGAGGTGGAGGTGAAACCTGAAGGACCTGCTGCTGAGTGGGTACAGGGATGACAAGGAGTGCTGCATGTTGAGAAGACTTCGATTCCTATAGCGAGGTTCTAGGTGGGAAACCAGGAAAAACAGCAAATTCAGATGGAAGGCATTTTCTGCTGGATATGTCAAGTAGATAGTCAAATGTCAAGATTTAAGGTGCAGATGAGTGGTGAGGGCCAAGCTGTGAGTTGCCGCTGTGAGGTGGTCACAAGCGGCACCGCTGCAGTGGCAACATTGACGTATGGAAGGCAGCAGCCAGGCAAACAATGCCTCAAGTGTGGATGAGGTCACCCAGGAAAGGGAGGGGCCCTTTCCCCATTTCACCACTTTCAGAAGCCTGGCAGTGCAGATGAGCCTGCGAAGTCCATGGGTGGACTGGCCAGTGGAGCAGGGACATCAAAAGGACTCCTGCATGATGCACTGCCAAAATGGCATTTTACAGATGATTAGCTAAGGGCCAAAGAGCAACTGATTATCCTGACTGCAGTGGTATCAGGCCCCTGGGCTTTTTCCTCACATGTCCTACTGCCAGCTTCTTTGCAGGTCAACATGAACTGGCTTAAGGAGAGGAGGAAACAGAGAAAAACCGGCTGCAGAGCAAATGAAGTGGTATCATTTCTTGACATTTAGAAAGGAGAAATTACATTTTAGCCAAGAAAGGGGACCTACTGGTCTAGAATGGCTCATTTCTATATGTATATGTATTATGTCTTCTATAAGCATATACTGTGTCTGTATATATTTAATTAATTTGAGATCAGGGTCTTGCTGTGTTGCCAGGCTGGCCTTGAACCTCTGGGCTCAAGATATCTACCCTCCTGCCTCAGGCTCCTGAGTAGTTAGGACTACAGGTGCACACTACCACGCCTAGTCAGAAGTATTCCTTCATCAGGCCACAAAGCATGACAGGGACCCTCCAAGAGCAGTTGCTATCATATTCTAGCATTCCTGCCATAGGTGCTCCAACCCATACACCATGATATGAACTGCTATCAATGCAACAGTCACAAGCACAGCCCTCAGCTGCCTCGGTGAGTCTTTCTGGAGAAGGCAGCCAGGACACCAGAAAGGCTTCAGTAAAAATCCTGTCTTACCTTAAAAAACCTGAGTTGAAAATTTCTACTCCTCCTCCTATTAGTCACTGCTCCCTCCACTATGAAAGGGCAATGATGCTTAGCTGGCAAAGCTACTGCAGGTATCAAGTAGGACAGTGTACAGAGTGTGGACCCAGAAGCCAGAGTCCCCAGGGTCCTGTCACTTTCTAGGTGACTTGGGGCAAGTGATATCACTGCCTTGTGCCACACTTTCCTTCTCTACAATAAGGAGATAGCGAAAGAATCTATTTCACAGGTGTTGTGAGAAATAAATAAGATAAATCACACAAATACTTAGAATAGGGTCTGGCTCATGCACAGGGGATCTCTAGGGAAGGCAGTGATACCTGTTCTTGTTTAAACTGGCTCCAAGGCCTGCCCCAGTTGGTATGAGATCCCTAATAGCTGCCAGTAGGGACACCTGTCCGGCAGGAGTTCAAGAAACAATTGAGTCTTGGGAGCCCTGAACAGAGAAGGTGGTCATTTCAGGGGTCTGGCCAAGAACCAGTTCTCTTCTTTCTTAGGTATAATAGAGGTGTAAAGTCTTGTGAGGTGCTTGAGATAAGGGAGACCATCTATCTGTCCATACTCTTTTCTCCATGACTTAATGTAAGACAGGCAGAGAGGAAGCACTAATGACTGTGTTCTGAATGGATGCCTCTTTTCCTTTCAGCTTGAAATTCTGCCACATGGAGAATTACTTAAACTAGAATAAAATGGCCACTATTTATGGGACTACTGTGCCAGACACTACATAGGTGCTTCACACACTATCTGAAGAACTCTTGTGCAGGCTTAGCAAGTATGGTGACATTTTGACTTGCTTTAGGACGGAGGCAGTCACCACTACTTTCAATTAAAGGGATTGCAGGTGGCAGAAGCTACCAGAAAGAAGGGGCTATGAAGAAATCAACAGAGAGCCAGTCTGAACAGAAGCCAAGCGCTCCAGCTCTGAAGAATGGCCACACAGACATGAAGCCCAGCTTAGCCATTAACTAATAATACAGCCAAAGGCAAAACACTTAATCTGCAAAATGGGGGGAAAAAAAAACAGCAACCACCCTACCCCAGCCACTGTAAGGATGAAATAAGCTAGTAGGCATGTAAGCTATAAACAACAGTGTCAAGTATAATGGCAAGGGCTAGACAAGGGTATCATTATTAGGAAAAGTACACTGGGTTCCCGTATGAGACAAGCTGAAATAGTGTGAGAGAAGAACTTACCCAGATTTTCTGCCTTGTAGGTTATTTTGCTGGGCTGGCAAAAGGGCAATGAGTAGTATTCGTAAGGTAACTGGGTTCGAGAGCTGGTAAGCTTCACAGCCTGGTGGAAGGAGAAATTCAATTTGCCAGAAACCAAGACCACTGTTCTGAGAATCCTCCCTGGTACCCAACTATGTGTAGAATACTTCATAACACTACCCAATAGGCAAGGTAACTGTAGCAGACATGACTATAGCATACTACGTACCTTCCACAATTCTGGATTCTTTTACTTTTCATTAGTTTTATTATACTGCCTTAAAGATTTAGTTTAAAACTGCAATCAAGTACGGGCATGGTGGTGCACGCCTGTAATCCCAGCACTTGGAAGGTTGAGGCAGGAGGATTACTGAGAGTTTGAGGCCAACCTGGGCTACAAAGTGAGCTCAAGGCCAGCCTGAACTGCATAGCAAGATCCTGTCTCAAAACAAACAAAACAACAAATAAAATTACAACCAAGAAAGGTATGGTGGTACACCCCTATAAATCCACCTCTTTGGGAAGCTGAGGCAGGAGGATAGTAAATTTGAGGTCAGCCTGAGAAATTTAATGAGACCTTGTAAAAAAGTAAAATTGGCTAGGGATGCAGTGCAGTGGCAGAATGCTTGCCCAGCATGTGTGAAGCCCTGGTTCAATCCCCAGTAGCAAGCAAACAAACACCTTCCACTAGAAGCTAAAATTTAAACTTCATGAGGGTAAGGGTCACCTGTATAATCTCTGTGCCTTAGCATGATACAGTGTAGGTGCTCATTAAATATCTGCTAAATGAGAAGAGTGGAAAAACAAAAACCAATAAAAGCTTGTATAATGGGAAACTGATCAACACTGAATAATGTATTTATTCAATTAAATACTGTATAGCCATGAAAAAGGAGGTTTAAAAAATAAACATAAGGAAGGTTTAAACCCAGGTACATGCCTTAATTGCAGCCCTCTAGGGGGCTGAGGCAAGACGACTGAAAATTCAAGTTCAGCATGAGCAACTCAGCGATTTACCAAGCCCATGTCTCAAAATAAAAAAAGGGCTGGGGATGTTCAGAGTAAAGGCCCTGGGTTTAATCTCCACTACTGTAAAAAACAAACAACAACAACAGAAAAACACTAAACCAAACCAAACCAAACCAAACAATTCCCCCAAAAAATAAGGTTTAAGAAGATGACAAAGGAGAATGTTTAGGAAATGATCCAAACACATAGAATACAGCTTCAGAAAAGCCAGCAGTCACAGAAAACCCCAAAATCATAGATAAAATAGAACCAATGAAAATGGTGCAAGACAAAACTTTAATCTAGCTAAATATTTTTACTATTTATGGACTCCCTACTACACCTCATACACCATCCAAAAGCGTAAATAATCTGTAGAATTTTAAGTTTTTATAATCCTTATTTAAAACTCTTGTTTTAGAATTAGAACTTTTTTAGATTTTAGAGAAGCAACGTGATACACATATCACAGGATTTGTAACACTCCCAGGAAAGTCTGGAGCAGTACTTCACATTGCACAATTCTGTAGATAAATGCAAAAATATTCATGCTAAGTAAGATAAATGAAACGAACAAACAGCTTCATGATGGGAGAGAGCAGCTCTTGCCTTCAGTGGACTTAGAAAAACCTTGACTTTCAGAGCTCCTGGTGATGTCAGATTGAGAGAACTGAGGATAGCTATTAAGCACGTCGTGAATTATTCTGTGTAATAATTTTGAGTTTCTTAGAATTCTTTCCCTGGATAATCAGGAAAAATATGCATTACAAAGAAAAGAATCCCATCTTTATGTTCTCTCTTCCTACCTAAGTTGTCCACTCCCACATCCTCAGCTTGGGAAGACTGGAGGCGAGATGCCCTGGTAATGCTTTGCTCGAGAGGTTTTGGCAGAGGGTACAAGTGGGGCAAAGGGTAAAGAGAAGAGGCTTGGAATAAACCCTGTGTGTTCCTCACCATGTGACCTTGGGCAAGTTGGTTCACCTCCCTAGGCCTCAGTTTCTTTATCTGTAAAATGTACAAAGATCTACAGAACATATACTTTGCCTCAGAGGATTCTTGTAGGGCTAGGTCAGGCCTAATGCTTGACATGTAAACAACCCTTAGTAAAGTTTCCTTTAATTAACGTTCCTGCAAGTTACAAGTCTGCCTGCCAAGGAAAAGAGATGTTTACAATATATGAACCATATGAGCAGATGCTGAGTTATACAGAGAAAGCTGGTAATAGGAGGAAGGAACAGATGAAGAGGGAGACAGAAAAACCACAGAGGAGGCAAGCTGCATTGTAGGAAGAGAGAGAGATGGACATATACCTGAAAGACAGAAAAAGACAGAGAGACAGACATAGCAGAAGCCAGCAGCACAGCAACAGAAATGAAGAGGTAAGCAGAGTTCCTGGGCTATAGGCTCTTGAGGGCACCCTACTAGCCATGAAGCACGCAGTGGGCCCTCCTGTTCCTAGGGTAACTGGAACTGGTTTGTGTCCTCTGCAACCATAAGACAGACATGAACAGCTCAGCACAGAGGTCCCAATGATCCAAGACCACACTTACCTTGATTTCTACAGGGTCGTTCTGGTGGAAGTTGATTGGTGCAACCCCCGGGACATAGAAGGAGCTTGTTTGACACGTGAGAGAAACAAGTAGCAGAGACCAGGGCAGCCAAACCTGCTTGGAAAAAGAGAGGCCACAGTTGGCATGAGGGAAAGAAATGAACTTCTGTTCAGAGCTGATGAAATCATACTACTCCCATGTCTGCTTCTACTGACCCAGTATCACCTCCCATTCTGGGAAGCCTGAGGCCCTTATAAATGTTGCTTCCCAAATGCCCCAACAGCCAGATATGCTGGTATATGCCTGAGTCCCAGCTCCTTGGGAAGCTGAGGCAGGAAGATTGTTTCAAACTGGGACTTTGAGACTAACCTGGGAAATACAGTGAGACCTTACCTCTGAAAATCAAACAGAAGACCTGAGAACATTTAGACTTGGATATTTGGCAGTTACTTCTCAAAAACATGATGTAAACAGTCACCTCAATGAAAACAAATTCATGCTCCCAAAAGCATTGCAATGCAATGACCATGCATTTCCAGAAATGGTCACACAACTGTCACTTAACATCTGTGCAAAATGGAAGATTGTCACATGGGAGCCACACATCCCAACTTCTAGATCACTGTTCTTTCAACCAAGCTCATAGTATATCATTGTCTACTACACCTTACAGGAAGCAAATCTCTACAATATTCTATTCTTTCCCATTCTCCTTTTAGCAATGGGCTCATTTGTCAGGAAGCTCCCGTGTCACCAACATGTTTTCCTGTAGGCCTTCTCAAAAACAGCACTGGCCTCATCACCTCTTTCGGTTCTCTTCACTCAGTTCCGGCCAAACGGCCTTGATAGCAAGCCCTTCTGTACCCTCCGGGCCTTCATCTGCATCGCTACTGCTGAGGAACACCACACAGATATATATGGCTCACTTACTCCCTGTGTCATGCAAGTCTCTTCACATGTCACCTCCTCAGAGAGGTCTTCACTGACCACCTCACCTGAAACAGCAGCCTCAGGGGACATGTACCTTCTCTCCCAGTCCCTCACTCTAAGTTTTATATCTGTGTGTGGTCTTATCTACTCAACACGTATGATGTGGGTAGACATGCTTCAGTGTGTCACACATCCTCTCCCCTTGAATGTAACCCTTGAGAGAGCAGGGACTGTGTCTCCAGAGCCATGGGAACGTGGAGCCCAGAGGCACTCTCAGTAGCTGCTTGCCAGAGAGGCACCTGGGAACACAAGGCAAACCAGACCAACTTATGACCTCGAGAAATCTGCCCACCAAAGCATCTCTTTCCTCTCATTAATAATGGCACTTCACTCACTCAAGGGACTAGAAGAGCTGCCAGGCTGTCTTTCCTCCGCCTGGTCTAAAGAAGAAACTTGCATTATGAATCGCCAACTTACTGCATTTTCATACCACCTCCTGTCTCTATCCTCTACTGCTGCCTTATTTCAGATGCGTATTTCCTCCAGTCATCAAGTTAGCCCCATACCCTGAACACACGTTCAGATGGTTCTGAAACACAGGTTTACAGGCAGTCAGTCACTGAGGGACCTGCCAAAAATCACTCTTACTTGCACCTGTACCTGGACTACAAATAGGGAAAAAAAAAAAAAAAAAGCTGTGAAAAAGTGTGTGCATTGGGGACGGATGGGTGTTGGGGACTGACTTCAGGATCCTGTGCATGCTATGTAAGCACTCTACCACTGAGTACATCCCTAGCCCTAATTCTGAGATACAGCTTCACTAAATTACCCATGCTGGGCTCAAACTCACAACCCTCCTGCCTCAGCCTCCTGAGTAGTTGGGATTACATGTGTGCCACCATGCCTGGCTAAAAGATTTAAGGTTCTATTGAGGTAAACACATCTGTAATCTCAGAACTGTGAGAGGCTGAGACAGGAGGGCTGCAATTTTGAGCCTACCCTGGGCATTTTAGCCAAACTCTATATCAAAAATAAAAAAGGGCTGGGGATGTAGCTCAGTGCAAAGGTCCTGGGTTCAATCCTCAGTACTGAAACACAAACAAATAACAAATTTAAGGTTCCAGCTCAGTGGTACATACATACACTACTGGAGGCTGAGGCAGAAGGATCACTTGAGCTCAGCAGTTCAAGGCCAACCTAGGCAATATATCAAGACCCCCACCATCTAAACATATAACTAAATAAATTAATTAATTAATGCAAAGTTCAGAGTTCTGTGGACTTTTTGTAAATTAAGAGCAATATACTCAGTGTTTTCCTTCTGACTTATGAATGTGTATAAGCATTTACCAGCTCATGTTAATTAAAAAATAAAACAGCTACAAATGGCTAAGATACGTCTATCACATTTGATAATCAAGAGGCAAGAAGAAGTAGCAGAACAGGAAAATCTTTAAAAGAAATGACAAGACTAAGCCAGCTGTGGTGGCACAGACCTATAATTCTAGCACTCTGGGAGGCTGAAGCAGGAAGATCTCAAGTTTAAGCCCAGCCTGGGTGACTTGAAAGACCTAATCTCAGATATGGCGGGGAGGGAGGGCGCAGTTTAAGCAGCTTAACTGAAAGGTTCTGGTATTCATCCTTAGTACCACACACAAGGATTAAAAGGTGGAAAATTGCTTCATCTGATTCCACATAGGAAGACAGAATTTTTCTCCCTCTGTCTTTTAAAAATCATTCATTTTAAAAATAAATTTAGATTTATAGAAGATATTACAGAGAGTTCCCACATAGTCTTCACTTGGTTTCTCCTAAAGTCAACATCTTTCATACTATGGGCAAGTAAAGTTTTTAAAAAAATCACATGCCAACACATTTTTTGAAAAAATAAAACCTATACAATGAATAATTAAAAGAGTGCAAATATTTACTCCAAATAGGTAGGTACTGTACAAACAGGTATATACACACTAGCTCCCAAGGAACAACTGCTACCACCAGTTCCTTGAAATCCCTCCAGAAAAATCCTCTGCAGGCACAAAGGAAAGGGTTTCAGTGCCTTCCCTTCCCTTGAATCAACAAACAGATCTGTATTCTTTTAGAACAGTAAGGGGCTCTACTAGATGTGAGCTGGTTACAACATCTGATTTCCTCTCCATCATAGGATTTCCTCCACTTGACCAGCCACGTGAAAGTCCAAGCCCTTCCTCTTAGAATCCTTAGCAAACACACATCTGTCAGCTATTAGAATGTGCTTCATTTAAAAAATAAGCACTGCCCTCTTCTTTTCTTCTAATTTTTTTCTAGATGTGAACTGCAGTTAACCAAAATGTAAGGAAGACGATTCTGCATTACAGGCACACGCTGTCATCCACAAATTGTTTAGGAAAGAAAACACTGAATTTTTAAATATGCAGAAAATAGACAATCCTTACACAAAGATACTATCAACCAGCTACAACTTTTTTTAATCTCAGAGGAAGGATCAAGAGAGAAAGAAAAATGGCAAAGAATGTCTCTATAATATGCTAGACTCTTTAATGCTTAAGTTGGCAACTAAAAGCAATTCAAATTCAGCTTAGAACTCATGACTACACCCAGATGCTGCTACCAGTTTTGAATTAAAATGGCATTGTGTGGTATTCTCATACGGCTGGAAGAGTTAGAAACTGGGACACTTCTGGGGGCAACCTGGTAGGTCCCCCAGAAGTGCATTCTCTTAGACCCTGCACTCCTAGACAGTTATGAAAGATATGGAAAGTATGCCAGAATGTACACAAAAGAGCACTCACCAGAGAATTATTTAAGTGGACTGAATGATGGTGTTTCCTATTTTGTGTACCGTGTCTGTATTTTCCTTTTCTATACAGAATTACACAGAATTTACACCATGTAAGAAAAATGAGAAAGAAAACACTGCTCTGCACACTTGGTTTGGCTAATCTGGCTTGGTATGGAGGGTCACCCGCTTGCTGGCCCAAGATGACTAGCCCACAGCACCTCCACCTTTTCTTTCTAAGCCTTCGGGTAAGCCCAGAGGTTGTTCCTGTTCTTGGCCCTCAGTTCTTGCCCCTCAGTCTTGCCTGATTCAAGTCCTACCTATGCATGGATGTTCAGGTAAAATGTTTCCCTTTAAGAACTCCTCAGATTCCCACAAGGTGAATCATTCTCTTCTTTCTTTCCTTTTCAGGGTACTATGATACTAGTGGCAAGAAAATGGAAATATTACCTAATAGCCAAATGTATTATCACACCTGTAATGTTCAAAGACTGCCTTAAGTGTTTGAGAAATATTTAAGTCCTCACTACAGTACTTTTTTCATGTTGTTTTGGCCATTTAAATTATTGGCTCTCTCTCCACCTGCATAGAATGCTTGTCTAGCTTGTTGATGGGGGTGCTCTGTATATTTATTAAAATAAGCACCAACCAACCCCTGATCTAAAAAAAAAAAAAAAAAGATGAAACCATCCACTCACATACAAATTAGTACTTTGGCTCTGCTGGGAGTGGTGGTGCACGCCTGTAATCCCAACACTCAGGAGGCTAAGGCAGGAGGATTGCTGAGAGTTTGAGACCAGCCAAGGCTACAAAGTGAGCTCAAGGCCACTGCATAGGGAGACCCTGTCTCAAAAAGACAAAACAAACAAACAAACAAACAAACAAAAAACAACTTTGGCTCTTAATCTTTTCTGTAACTCTTAGAGAATTTGATTTAAAAAAAAAATCCTCACATTGAAGGAATTCTTGACACCTTTTGCCTTTTCATTTGTCAAAGCACCTTGGTTGAGGATCCCTGAGAACACCTCCAGCCCTACACTTTGGCTGTAGCAAGCCTATACACAATGAACAAAGTCAGTAAGGAGAGCAGCTCTCTGCCCTGATGCCTTAAGAGTAACCTGAGGAGATTTAAAACCTACCAATGCAAGCACTTACTCTACTTTATATTTATTCATCATCCTGACCAGTTAAAAGGCAGAATCTCAGAGAGGGCCCTGGATTCGTATTTTTAAAGGATCTGTAGGTCCTCATTACTCAAAGTGAGATCTATGGAGAGTGGCAATCACCATTTTTTGGAAGCCTGTTAGAAATAAGAGAACCTCAGGCCCTGCCCAGGAACTAGTGAACCAGAACTTACATTTCACAAAGCTGCCCAAGTTAAAGTTCAAGAACTACTGTTTCAGAT